AGCCAATTTAAAGAAACCTTTATGAATGGGCCCTCCACCAACAGTAAGAATGAGCTACTTATCCTTTCAGGTAAAAGCCCCCAAAGGTCAAATTTAGTAACACAAAAGGTACTATGAAAAAGGGCTCATAATTATATATTCTGGATTAAACTCAATTAACTGAAGAAATAAGGGGGCAGGAACCTTTTTTAAGGGAGAAGTTTCTCGTTTAAAATCAATTTGTTGCAAGACTCCAAACAAGTCCTCGTGGACTTACTGAGTCTTAAGTCTGACTGGCACTGAAAAGAGACTGAGGGAGGCTGCTTCTCAGATTCCTCTGTGCTAAGTGCGGCCATGCTGCAAGGGGCTTTGTCTCTCTCGTGTCCTTCCTCAATGGCACCCAGCCAGGCTAGATTTGGAAGGATTGCTCTGCCAAGGAGGAATGGAACTGTGAAGGAACACTGCAGAGGATCAGGAGGCTCAAGAGATAGACCCAGGATGGAGCACAGCCTTCAGTATGAGAGAATTCTGCCAGGTCCCAAGTGGGAGTAATAAACATAAAGTGTTCTCCACAAAACACAAAGAAAGGTTTCTCTGGATTCAAAAATGATCAAATAGAAAATAATCACCATAGGGCCCCTAATAAAAAGTACACATCAGGGGAGAAGCACTGATTTACTGAAAGAAGAGTTTCATGACTTTAGTATGAACCACAGGGGAAAGAACCTCTATCAAACAAAATAAAAACAGACAGACAAACAAAAAACCAGGATATGAAAACAGAAGAACAAAACAATGTAGGAAATTATAGGAAAATACAACATTGCTTTTAAAATCCATGTTAAAGGCAGTGACCATAGACTCAACAGAGTAAGAGTTTAAGTAATTTGAGAAACAAGTCTAGAGCATGAAAAATGAATTAGTTAAAATATCAAGTACTTCCACATTAGTTGGTAATAGTCACTCCCCACCTCTCCACAGCTGGACACTGTGGGGCTCCCCCAGACTCGGCCTGTCCAGGAAAGGTCCACCACAGCAGGAATCCTCAGGATCCAGCATGAGATCATTGCTCAACCACCCTGTGCAATGTGAGCTGCCAAACTAGTTGTTAAATATTTTGAATATCAACCCCTGACTCTAATCCAAGAAAAACAGATAGTTCCAGTCAAGAAAGACAAGTGAGGCAAAAGTAATAATCAAAGCTATAACTGAAGGAAGCTTTTGGATCTAAAACAGATCTGAGTTAAAAAAAAAAAATCAAGACATAATCAATCATTAAGTCCAAAACAGAACTAAGAAACCTCTTGTAATTGCTGTAAGTGGGGCAGGGAGGGAGCTGAGGGGGAGGGATGATGGGGCAATGTAAATAATGCACAATATAAGTCTAATAGGAATTGTCACTATGAATCCCCCCCCGTGTAATAAATATATCCTAATAAAAAATTTAAAAAATGTTTCCATTATGTCCCAGTCAAATACCATGAAAGAAGACTGAAGTGAAGAGCCAGGTTTACTTTTCAAAACTACAGCTGGCAGCATGGTTCAAGTGGTAGAGCACCTGCCCAACAAGTGCAAGGCCCTGAGTTCAAACCTCATTTTTCAAAACCAAAAGATTGAACTGAATTGGGCTGGTCTCATCCCACATGCATGAAATGGTATTTTGTTTCTTTTCTGTCTGATTTTTCTTAAAGGAAAAACAGAAGCCAAAGTACTTGCTGGGTAGGTAGAGTGGATACACTCAATTACCCTTTGCAACTCAGGCATTCACTCTCCTGCCTGTTGAGTGCTGGTAATTCAGAACAGCCTCCCTCTTCAGAAACTGCCCCAGCGGAAGGAAGCTTCCTTGCCTGTGTGGAGTTTAGGTGAAAATAAGCACTAAACTATTGGGCAGTGAGTCAAGAAATGAAATGGAAATCTCTCCTTGACAAAATGATTCTGGGAAAAAAACCATTGATTTTGCTACGGATTAATTTTCTACTTCCCTTTCTTTATTTTTCTTTTACAGGTGTTTGAACTAAGGCCCTGGTGCCTGCTTGCTAGGAGAGTACTCTACTGAGCCAGGCCTCCACCATCCCCACACATTTTTTTTTTTTTTTGCTTTGGTTATTTTCAGGTACATTCTCACATTTTCACCAGGGCTAACCTCACACTGCAATCCTCCTACCTACAGCCCACTGCACAGCTGTGATGACATGTGCTCAACCCAGTTTACTAAGATGGGGCTGGCCTCAAACTGTGATCCTCCTGATCTCTGCCTCCCAACTAGAGATTAAGGCATGAACTGTAGGCTTGGAATAATCTTATTCAAAATGTTTCAAAAATATGTGAAAGAAGTAAAATTGTTAAATTCATTTAGGAGGCTAAAGCTGGATGTGATAGTAAAGGAGAAAATGAATTCTCAAAACAGTGCTTTTTTTTTTGAGACAAAGTCTTGAGATGTAGCCTATGCTGGCCTTGATCTCAAAATCCTCCTACCTTAGCCTCCCAAGTGCTGAGATTACATGGGAACACTACCACACCCAGCAAAACAACTTATTTTATGAGGCTCCTTTCCACCAATTAAATAGATAGTAAAAAATATGCATATTGAATTATAGGTTTTACAGGTAAGAAAATAATAAATGACTTAGAAAACTAACAACTTAATAATCATATATAAATTCTAGCAATTTTTCTTTGCAAAGAATTAGAAAACAAAACAGGTAATTCAAATCAGGAAAAATAACATTAAAAATTTCCCTGAAAAGAGCACACTATTAATATCAAATGCTAATAAATGTGAAATTCTACATTAAATGGACAATGTTCAGAAAAAAAACCAATCAAAACTGGTTCAGCAAATAAAACACTAAACAGGCTACCAAGTTCAATGGAAGCATTAATATACTATTAGTCCTTAAAAAGTTCAGAGTCTAGAAAACTTTATTGCAAAATCTGAGCTGTCAATGCTGGTACAAAAAAAAATTAGTCCACAATACTACTCCTACTAATGAACGATACAGAATACTTCAGCCACTGGCACAGGTAAACCTGAGGCTCAACAGTGGTGTGGGTGCCAGACCATACGGCTAGGATGTAGTAGAGCCGAGACCTGAATGAAGGTCACACTCGATCTTCTGGTAACCACCACTAACAAAGCCTCTGTGTAAAAACTAAACAAAGCCTTGGTAACAAACCCTTCATAATTTAATATTTTTCTGTTTTTTTTTTTTTTGTTTGCTTGTTTGTTTTGCGGTACTGGGGCTTGAACTCAGGGCCCATGTCTCGAGCCACTCCATCAGCCCTTTGTGTGTGTGTGGGTGTGTGTTGGGTATTTTCAGGAGACAGTCTCACAAACTATTTGTCTGGGCTGGCTTTGACCTGCGATCCTCCTGATCTCTGCCTCCTGAGTAGCTAAGATTATAGGTGTGAGCCACCAGCACCTGGCTCTGAATATCAGTAATCAAAGACGCTGCACCTATTCTCTGGCAGGCACTGTTCTAAGAAAGTAAATCTGCCATTGCTCTTAATCCTTATTATAACTTTATGAAGGGCTGATGACGACATCATCCCTCCAGAGAGTTAAGAAACAAAAGCTCGTTATCATCACATCATTATTTTAGGTCACGTTTCCCAAGTGAGTGAAAACACGCTAATATTTGGCTTTTTGACATGAATGTGAAAGGTAGACTGTTGGGGTGATCAGGAGGAGGGGAAGGGGAGAAAGTAAAGGATGCTGAGGGAGACAAGGATGGAAGTACTCTACATATGTACATATGAAGGCAGCAGAATGGAACCACCAAACACTGTTTGCAAAAGGAGGGAGGAGGGAGAGGGGAATGGGATTACACTGGAGGGGGAGAACTTGTTCAAAGCACACTGTACACATGGATGGAATTATTACAATGAAACCCCTCATATTATTAATGTATGCTAGTTCAAAAATGTAATAAAACTATTTTTAAAAAAGAAACAAGTTCTGAGAGGTGTTCAATGACATGTCTAAGGTCACACAGCTAGCAAGTAACAGAGGAAGGATTAAAGACTGGCTGTCTGTAGGATCTATGCGAAATGCTACATTAAACACCACTAAGGATGTTGAAGGCAGCAGTGAACACAGATTTCAATTTACCCATTAATTACAGCTTTATGACAATCAGATATGGAAACCAAAGCAGCACTTATAGAATGGATCACTGCAGGCAAATTAGGTGCCATTCTGAAATCTTACCTAGGCAAAAAATGCACATGAAAAGCAAAGTCTCCAAGAACAATCATTAAACTTATAACCACATTGGCAATTTCTTGTAAAAAATAATAATGATATAGTTATATGTGAATTGTAAGTCAAACACATACTATGACTCACAGTCATTATGAACTCATTGCTCACTGATTACTTTCTCCAGCACAACTAAAAACATTTTTTGAAGCGATTTTTCATTTTGTGGTATGAGATTACAACTTTATTCTGTATGGATTTCAGAACATATTCCGAATTACTTTAAGCATATAAAGCAAACACCAACAATATGAAAGGAAATGTACCCCAGGGACCAAAGAGAACACCTCACCAACCTTTATATACAGCATTGTACCAATAAATGAAAGAGACTCAACACTGGCCACAGATGAGCGCCACACCATCATGAATTACATGCTATATTAATCATGCACAATAAATTTTTATTGCCCTCAATTAGGAATAAACTCACTAAATAAAGTTTATCTTTAATATACACGTGACTGCTATGTTCCAGTTTTTATTCATTCATTTGCTTATTTTGTGGTACATGGGATCAAATCCAGGGCTCATGCCTGCTAGGCAAGCATTTTATCAGTGAGCTACATCCCTCAATCTGAAGTTGTTTTTTTTTTTTTTTTTTTTTTTTTTTGGTAGTGGTGCTGGGGTTTAAACTCAGGATCTTACACTTGCTAGGCAGACACTTCTACCACTTGAGCCACTCCTCAAACCCTGTTCTTAAATTTTTGATTATTGAATATTAATAGTAATAACCATCCATTTTTGAGATTATAGCTACCTCTGGCTTCATGTGATGTCCTCACTTCACTTTCTGTTCTTTCTTCAGTGTCTTCTTTGACATCATCAGCATGCTGGTCTCTGAGGAAAATAGGTGTTTCAATATTTAGTAAGAGAAGAATTTGAAAAAATGGTTCAGAACTGCACATTAACTTTTTCTTAATTTAAAAACAAATGGCGCCTGTAATCCTAGCTATTCAGGAGGCAGAGATCAGGAGGATCATGGTTTGAAGCCAGCTTGGGGAAATAGTTCTTGAGATCCTATCTCTAAAAATCCCAACACAAAACAGGGCTAGTGGAGTGGCTCAAGTGGTAAAGTGTGTGCCTAGCAAGCGTGACACCCCCAGTGCCACAAAAAAAAAAGTATCACTAACATATTAGAGAGGATATGCAATTCTACCACAAAGCAATGAATACTACTAACACTAAATATGCCAGGCATGTTCCATAAAGGAATACATTATTAAAATCTTAATTCAGAGCTTTATCCCTTAAATCAGGGACAAAAATGGTTCTTTTAAAATAAGAAGCTAGATACACACTACTTAGGCTTTTTTAAGATCTGGATTTCAGAGAAAAAAAGAACCAGTCATGTTCTGACAGAGGACCTGAGGTTCAAAGGGCAAACAACCCTCTGGATTTTAGGGATTTAAGAAATTTCAGCCTAATTCATTCCATTTTTGAAGTTTCAAAATAAAGCTCACAGTGCAATCCCCTCTGTGTAGGATACAGGGCTGGACACACAGTTGTTGACTGCTTTGTAATACTTTGGCCCACACCATAATTTTACTATTAAGCTTTAAGAATAAGGCAAATATATATGAAACAAAATAACCCAATGAAATATAAAGGAGTTCTATAGTTTTAATTACAAAGGCATTAATTTATTCTCCATCTGAAATAACAATTTAACACAATGATGCTAACAGAGTAAGCATATAGTAAATGTTCACTATTTTTTTAGAAAGAATAATGTGAAACTTCATTTGAACTTGATCTCCCTGGCTTAGTTACCATACTAAAAATAACTTGTCAGTTGCTGAAAACTATTTGCACTTATTTGAGGATGGGGAAGAATCACTGCTGTTGTGCAATACAAACATTTTTCTGAGAATTTGAGAAAGCTCTGAATTAAGACTTTAATGAATCCATTCCATTTTAGAGCATCCTTAGTATGTTTAATTTAGCATGAGGTCATTTCAATGGCTACAGAAGTTCCTACTTAGTCCAAGGAATGTGAGGGGATGAACAGTAGTCAAAATAAATGTAAGAATATCACTGATAACTAGACAAAGAACATTATTTGAGGTGCTGCTAAAAAATTTTGTCTTTTCTGTAAAAACAGTTTTAAAGTCATACTTGGTAATTACAGTAAGTTAAAATCAACCTACTATGTGCTAAAATTAACTTATGAACTTCCAAACTTATTTATATTAAACTAGAAATAACATTCTTTGAGTCCACAAATTGTAGCGCAGTTAAGTATTGTGGCCAATTTAAAAAGTTTCTTGTAGGTGGCTATGTTAATATTAGGGAAAAAAAAATCACACATTGAAGTGATACAATTTTAAACTGGCATTTCCAAAGTCAAAGAAAGTAAACTCCCAATTATAGTTATTGAGAGTGCTTTTCCTAGAAACTTTGACGAGTGATTGTAAGTGAGAACAAAAGCTAAAATTAAGTCTTAGACTTTTCTGTATCAGTATGCTTCCATGATTAGAATCAACCACTGATAATCAACAGTTATCCTTTTGTGGTTTTAATAAAGCATGTTATTCCTAAAGTACATTCTGCTAAAATGAAGTCAGACTTCAGCATAAGAGAAGTTCCTTTATATTCTTATGTCCAAATGTAATGCCAATTACTTATTTACTGAAATGTAAGAAAAAGACCATTTTCCAGGAAAAGAGACAGAAAAAGGAAAATAAAACCTTTGACCCAAAAGTTTTCTTATGCTCAGGTTTGCCAAAAAAAAATCCCAAAAGAGAAGCAAAATGGAAGTTTTGTGCCTTTTTATTATGTTTCTTCCTTATAAGAGCACAGTCAGTTTTCATTTTCCCAGTTTTAACTCATAACATTTTATTAAATCAGACCCATATAAACCCGGGAATAAATAAACACAGACACTTATTTTACCAAACACAGTTCACATGGAAGACGCAACAAGAAAAAGTTTATTAAATGGTTTATTTCTGATTGATTCTGCAAATTCCTTAAAATCAAACAAGTGACAAGACACCCAGTGTTCCACATGCTGGCCATTTCCTGGGGCTAGAGAGTGGGGACGTGGAGTGGGGAATCTTGAAGTCTGTTAGAACAGGTATTGTGAAACAAATGGTGAACAGACCACCAAAGTGAGCAGAGTCCTAAAAGCGCATCCAGACACGCAGAAGTGGTCCATACTAATAAGAAAAGTCAGCATTTTTAAGCACATACTATGAGCTAAAGACTTTCTGGCCAAAATTCTACAACACTCCTTGGAGCAAGGTTCTGTTACTATAGTCACTGAAACATAAGGAACTTAAGCTCAGATTCACATGGCAAGTATAGAACCACATCTTCCTGATACCAATCTCCATAATTAGATTCAACGACTCTTCAATGTCCGTATTTATGCTTTTTAAAATAATGTATCCTCGTTATCTGAAGTTAAAGAAGCATGCTTTCCTGTGCCCTAATCTTGTTTTCAAATTGCCCTGCATTGAAAAGGTCAGGAATGAAGAATCTGACTCACATTCTTATTTGTTTTGAATTTTATATATGATGAACATTGGTTTGTCAATTGAGCAACCATAATTTCTCTCTTCCAGGAGGCTGGAAATTCCATTACCCTATTTCTGGTTGAATAGGTACTATGAGGATTTCTTCCCAATGAAACCTTTGTTCTAGTTTTCAACTTCCTTAGTGAAAAGTTATTCTACCTAGCTACGGCCTTCCAATTACATAAAAAATATGATGATATTGGAATGTGAAAACTATGGGATAATATAACGATATACTCTGGAGCATAGTACAAGATATGCTTTTTGACAGATATTAAAAAAAAAAAAAACACCAGAAATATTTTACGCTAAATTTTAGTATCAATTTATACTGTTTGACACAGAAGCTTCTTGACCTGCTCTCCTTGGTCAACACTTTTGTTTGTCAGGTTTCACTCAGGCAGAGGCCCGGGCTGCTCAAGCATGAGAGTGAGTCTAAACAGCCCAAGGACAGTCACTACATGTGTGGCCCTTGGAAGTAGCAGACCTGGTTCAAATTTCAGCTCTGCTACTTACTAGTTTTATACAACCTTCAAAACTAGCTGAATTAACTTCCCAAATTCTCAGGTGTATCACCTACAAACTAATGATAATCATTCCTCAGAAGGCAACTTGAGGGCTGAATAAAGTATAGGACGTGCTTGGCCTATACGCCGGGGTATGACACAGGGCAGCTGTTACTACTTACCAACTTGCTATGTGTTAGGATAAAAGCATCTGTTGACATTTCTTCGTTCGTTCTTTCTTTTTTGTGTGTGTGGTTTGAACTCAGGGCCTTGCACTTGCTGGGCACACAATCTGTTACTTGAGCCACACCCCTAGCACTTTCTGCTTTAGTTAGTTTTCAGATAGTTTCTTTTGCTTTTTGCCCTGGCAGGGCTTGAACTATAGTCCTATCTGGGCTATTTTCTTCAAGTATTAAAACAGCTTTTAGATTAATGGTCAGACTGCCTGGGTTATAAGCCAGGTTCTGCCTAGTGTGGTCTGTGACCAAGACAGGTTCTGCATGTGTAGGACAGGGACGTAACACAGAACCTGTAACACCTAAGGCATTATAAAGATTAAATGAACTAGCAAAGGGAAAGGCACCCAGAAAAGTGCTCCAAATATAGCAATTTCTCTTGGGATTTTAGCATTTTCAAGAACCAGCTTAACATTTCTTTAGCTTAAACTGTAATACTATCAAAGTAAAATCTTACTCAAAAAAACTCCCTGGCTTTTAATTAAGATAGTGGAATCTCTCAGATGGAAAAGCGTATTCTTTGTGAGTCAGCATTCTCTTTTTCTCTGTAATTATGTGTCACATTTTAGATGTCTTACTATCTTACTCTAATTATGCCTTGTGGTAAATTATTAGGAAACAAACACAAGTAGAGTAATGCTTAGGAACAGGATGGCGTTTGAATACATACAGCTGTATTTCTTCAAGTTTGTTAATTCTTTCATTTAAAAACAATCCCTAACCAATTATGGGTCAACCAATGCCAGTCTGCTAAAAACAACATTGAAAATATACTAAGTAACAAAACAATTTCCATGAATTCAAGGATGTATTAATTTCAGCCACCTTTCTAAATCCAGTGTAAGAGGAGGCAGGAGAAAATGAACGTTGGTAGAAACATGCCACATAGGTGAGGAAGCTTGAACTTCAGTTACTGTGGGCCCAACATCAGACACATAGCTAACCTACATAGCCCAAGTACAAGAGGCGCACTCCTTAGTTTGGCTAGAATGTTTTAAAATGTCCCGCAAATGCCTGTGAGTTAAAGACTTAGTCTCTAGCCCCTGGTGCTATTGGGAGGTGGTGGAACCTTTAGGAGGTGGGGCCACGTGAAAGTTAGGTCACTGAGGGTGTGTCCTTGCAGGGACAGTGGTACCCATCCCCTTCCTCTCACTTTTTGCCTTCCAGTTACCATGAGGTGAGCAGCTCTTCTTTGCTACACATACCTGCCAGGATGTCCACTGTGCTGCCGCTGCTACAAAAGCAACAGGGCCAAATGACTTTGGATGGAAAACTCTGAACCCACAAACCAAAATAAACTCGTCCAAGTTAATTATCTTAGTTATCTCTCACAGTGATGGAAAGCTAGCACATAACCCCACCCTTCTCTTTCCAAAGCGGCATCTTCTACTCTCACAAGGGGACTGTTAGGATTGAGGAGGACCTGGTACCCCCACTAACAAATGGGAACACCATGAATGCCAGAGCAAGCCATTAAAAAAAAAAAGTTGTTTTTTCTGTTTTGAACGTCAAAGGGATGTCTCTTTGCATGCACTCAGAAGTTTTTGTTGTTGTTGTTTGTTTGAATTCCTGGGCTG